ACTTTCATTTTCAATATAGTTGCCGGCCGGAGCTCGACAGAACCTGCCCACGTGATAATGATACCCCCTTCTGTTGCGCCAAGTTGTAATATGCATTCACAAGTCCGGCGTTGCGGTGATATTAGTATCAACCGTGGCAGCACGAATGCCACAAAATTCCCGTAACACCATGCCGCCACGGCGCGTTTATATTACACGTACGCTGATTTCCCAGCATGGTATGTCCTACAAGAGGCTGTCTCTCGTGTTTATCTGACATGACTGTTGCACAATAAAGATTATATTCTTTCTGACCTGATAAAGGGGGAATGGAGGTCCCTTGCCCTGTTCCAGCCTCTGGTCTACTGCCTCCTGCTGCTCTCTCTCTGATTTCTCCATGCTCGTTTTCACCAGCTGACACACTCACTCTCTTGGGAAAAAACTGCAGAATTCCTGCCTGTATCTGACCCTTTCTTTTCATGTTCTCTATCAGACAGTGCCAACTATTAACACACGAAATGCAGATTACAAAAGAAGTACATGGATTAGCAAGGGCTAACGTTTTTTCACAAGCCCTTTTTAACATTACCTTTAACTAATGTCGGCATTGCTTTCCATTGGACTTATTGTCAGACTTGACTTACATGGCAACTGTGAGTAAACAGTGATTCGTGACTTACCAACAAACTCCTCATAACGTGGACTCTCATCAGATCCGATGTCGGTTGAAAAGTTCTCCCTTCTTGGAATCTTTCAAATCTTCTTCTGTTGGATTTCACACACTATTTTGCTCCTTAGCGCCACACGGCCACTAGTGTTTGGACTCGGAATTGCATCCACCTATAATCTCATCACCGCACAAAGGACAGATGAGTGACAGGACAGGGGCACTACAGGGGCCAATCATATTTCAGCAGGGGTCAGTGCCCCTGTGGCCCCGCCCCTAGAACCGCCAATGGGCTCCAGTAAGAGAAAGAAGCAGCGTGCTTCATAAAAGCTTTTATCTTCACTTCTGAAAGTGACGCCGTTTTTTGATGTAAACATCAAAAGGAAGCAGAAAGGAAAGACAATGGAAAATGTTTAAAGGGAGGAAAACATAGACCAAAATGGAAAATAGAAGAAAAAATAAAGTAAGGCAAAAGCACAGGAGCACTGACAGGAAGAAGAAAGCACTCAAAGGGAGAGAAAGACAGGAAAAAAGAGGAGGACTAATAAAAAGGGAAGATAACTCGTGTTAGAAGAGGGGAGAGTCGCAAATCCAGATAAAGGTAAGATTGTCGAAAATTTTGTGTAAGGGGGCCCCATGTCTGTGTTCACCTTGGGCCCCCGAATTGCTAAATCCGCCACTGCTCGTTTTATGCAGAGAGGCTTTGGACGTCAGCGACTTAAAGAGCAAATCGCGACGAACCACGAGTGAAATATTGATGCTCGACTGCAGAAGTAAAATTGGAGGACTCCAGATTCCTTCAAAAATGCCAGCCAACCCCAGCAGCAGGTGGTTTATATTATAACTCACAACATATTAAAACAGAATTAAATAAAACCGGCTGGTTTTAAGAACCTTGAAATGAATAGAAGCCAAATCAAATCAAATCAACTTTATTTATAAAGCACCTTCACATGCCCAAAACGGACAAACAAAGCGCTGTACACCAATAAAAGTCACAGCAATAAAACAGACATATAACCATTTAAAATATGAGAAATCCCGAGTACAAGTTTGCAATCCATATCGGTCCTTTTCCAGAATCAGATCCAGACACATTCAAAGTGATGCTGCCCATGCAATCCCAACTTCAATGTCCACACGCCAATGAGAAGAGATGTGTTTTTAGTCGGCTTTTAAAGGTCTCCAGTGATTTGTCCTGCTTTACGTTGGCTGGCAGCTCATTCCAAAGACTTGGTCCGAGCACTGAAAAGGCACGACTCCCACCAGACTTCAGGCTGTACCTGGACACGGTTAATAGTCTCTGGTCAGCTGACCTAAGGGAACGCACCGGGACATGTCGGTGGATGATGTCAGAAAGGTATTTAGGTGCCCCTGAGTTTAACGCCTTAAACACAAACAGGATGACCTTAAACCTGATGCGATAAAAGACAGGGAGCCAATGCAAGGCACGTAGGACTGGCGTAATATGTTCAGACCTCCTGGTAGATGTTAACAACCGAGCAGCCAAGTTCTGAACCACCTGGAGGCGTGCTACTGGAGCTTGCCTAAGCCCCGCATATAGCGAGTTGCAGTAATCCAGCCTGCAGGTAACAAAGGCATGGATCACAGTTTCCAAATGACTGTGTGACAGAAATGGCTTAATTTTCGCAATGCAGCGTAGATGAAAGAAGCAAGACCTCACGATTCCGTTCACTTGAGCCTCAAATCTGAGCTCTGTGTCCAGCTTTACCCCTAGGTTAGTGACCACCGCCTTCTGATGCGGTGCCAGTGTGGAAAAATCAAGCCCTTGGGCACCTCCTGGGGTCTTTGGTGGAGTAAACAGAATTACTTCAGTCTTGTGTTCGTTGAAACACAAGAAGTTCTGAGCCAACCATAGCTTGATGTCCTCCAGGCAGTCCAACAGAGGTTGAATGGTGCATAAACCACCACGCCTAACTGGAAAAATGACCTGGCGATCGTCAGCATATAGATGGAATGACACGCCATGCTTGCGGAATAGTTCACCCAGGGGTAGGAGATATAAGGAGAATAATAGTGGGGCCAAAATCGATCCCTGTGGCACTCCCCAAGGCAGCTCAGCCAGGTTGGAGGAACAGCCGCCCAACCTCACACAAAAACTCCTCCCTGTCAAGGATACACGTTTTTTTCTGGTCCGCTTTGCCTTACGCCCTGAATCACACAGTTTCCACGATGTCTGTCATGTAGTTTGAGATTATGAGGCTTGTAAAAATTCGTAAACAAACCGACTACAAATCAGGCGTGGCACATCACCACAGAACCTCTTCTCCCCCAGCGTAGCCGACCACAAGGCCAGATTTATGGCGGTTTTATCCATGTTTGATGCTCCTTCTGTCGTCCTGGAAGAAGGAAGCTCGCTAAATTCAGAGCCACTTTCCTTCTCCTCCTCTCCCCGGCCGGGTCTGATGGCATCAATTTGGTGAGATGAACATTTGTAGTCCCGTACGTATTTTCACACAAACGCTAAAAGAACTTTAGCCGCCTGTCGATGAGAAGCTCTTTCTTGTGTCTTTAAAGGTCACAGACATACTTTGTAAAGTCCATGACACAAACAAACGGGACCAGAAATCACCTTTATCAGCTCATAGACTCCCATTCATTTATTTTGGCTGCAGGGAAGTACGGAAGCACAATCACCGGCCACTTTATTGGGTATACCTTGCTAGTACCTGGTCGGACCACCTTTTGCCTTCAGAGCTGCCTTACTCCTTCGTGGCAAAGATTCAATACGATACTGGAGACATTCCTCAGAGATGTTGGTCCACGTTGACATGACAGCATCACACAGCTGCTGCAGATTTGTCGGCTGCACATCCATGATGAGACTCTCCCGTTCCACCACATCCCAAAGCTGCTCTGTTGGACTGAGATCTGGTGGCTGTGGAGGCCGTCTGAGTACAGTGAGCTCGTGGTTCAAGAAGCCAGTCTGAGATGATTGGAGCTTTATGACCTGGTGCATTATCCTGCTGCAGTAGCCATCAGAAGATGGGTGCACTGTGCTCATAAAGGGATGGACATGGTCAGCAACAACACTCAGGCGTTGCCATGGTGATAAGTTAGCACTAAGGGGCTCAAAGTGTGCAAAGAAAATGTCCCCCACACCATTACACCACCACCGCCAGCCTGAAACGTTGATGCAAGGCAGGATGGATCCATGCTTTCATGTTGCTGATGCCAAATTCTGACCCTACCATCCAAGTGTCGCAGCAGAAATGGAGAGCCGTTAGAGCAGACAGCATGTGTCCATGTTTGGTGAGTGTGTGAATTGTAGCCTCGGCTTCCTGTTCTTGGCTGACAGGAGTGGCACCTGGTGTGGTCTTCTGCTGCTGTAGCCCATCCGCCTCAAGGTTCCACGTGTTGTGGGCTCAGAGACGCTCTTCTGCATACTTTGGTTGTAACGAGCGGTCATTTGAGTTACTGTTGCCTTTCCATCAGCTCGAACCAGTCTGGTCCTCTGACCTCTGGCATCAGCAAGGCATCTTCACCTACAGGACTGCTTTTTCAGACCATTCTCTGTAAATCCTAGAGATGGTTGTGTGTGACAATCCCAGAAGATCAGCAGGTTCTGAAATACTAAAAACAACCATGCCACGTTCAACGTCACCTAAATCACCCTTCTTCCCCGTTCTGAAGCTCGTTTAGAACCGCAGCACATCCTCTTGACCACATCTACTATAGACTCTAACTTATTTGCCATTTTTAAGCACAATATTTAACTTTTACGTAACAATAAAATGTGTGCTGTTCAAACATGATCATTCTTATTTTTGTGCGCAATAAGTTTTTGTTTGCAAAATTAGATAATTTAGTTCTTCCAACTTTAAAAGAGTTCAGACATGAATGTTTCATTAATCAGACGTGATCATTTTAATGTTAAGAAATGATCATTTTGTTGTTCAAACGTGCCTCGCATGTCTGAAAACAATCCGTTTGAATGAAAAAAGTATATCCTAAGATCGATGAGTTTAGCAACAAACTCCTCACATCAGAAAGCAATGCGGCTGGTTTTCTGTAAGTGTGGCAGCAAATCACTTCCATAATGAACAATGTTTGGACTTCAGAAGCTGAAATGCTGCTTTTTCAGAGACCGTAGTTGTTAAACATTTACTTCCTGTTGTTTTCTTAAAAACAATTATTATTACTAATATTTGGTAAGACCTTTGATGGTTTTGGAGCATTTTTAGTGATGTTTTTTTGCAAGCCCCGATGTTAAAGATCCCAATTTGAAGCAGAAAAGTGGAGATTTGTAGGAATGCTTTACTGCCCTCCATTTTCAACTGTTTATAATATTTTTCTGTGTCTGCATATTTTCTCTGTGCACATTACTCATCAGAATAAAAAAAGGAACTATGAAAACCTCGACCAACTGTCCTATGACAACAAGCGAGGACCTAAGGTATATTTGCATGGTCAATGCACGCCGCCCACCAACTTTCCAAACGTAGCAACTAGAAACCAGCCCAAACCAGTCACCAGCCGACCCAGAAATGTCCCTCTCTTGGTAGCACGTCTTTTTTTTACTTTGAGACATGTCCCTATGATTTAAATAGAGAATGATGTTATGAAAAAAGTTGTATTTTTCCAGTCATAACAGAAAAAAATAAAAGAAAACAGCGACCCGCTTTTATCATTTTCATTTTTTCCTTCGATAAAGGAATGCATGTACTCAAAACACATTCACTCACACACACACACACACACACACACACAAAAGAGTTTGCAAGTCCATTCCTTTGTGAAGAACCGGTAGTGTGGGACTCAGAAATCCCAGATGCTACTTCCTTCAGTTCTGTAGCAATTCCTTAATTTGAGCAGTTTATGAATTTATTTATTTTATTTTATTTATTTTTTTTTTTTGGAGGGCTAATGTTCCCTTGACCCCTTTCACCTGTCTTCAGTTATTGGTTGCATTGACCTTCTTCTTCCCTTCTACCTAACACATGCACGTTCTTCTTTGGAGCCTTGATAACCCTCAGTTTGCATGCCAACAAATGCAAAAGTTTTTCTTTTTTTTCCCCTTCAAGCTTTTTTATTTTTTTAGTTCAGCCGGTTCCCCTGGATCGCTTTCCTTTTTATCTCTGTCTCTCGTTTTCAAATAAAACTGGCCAAGCTCGAACCAAGCAGGTAACGAGGCAGCATGGTGTCTGTGGTTGGGGAAAAGTAGCTGGCTTGACCTTTCTTATGCCCCAACCACAGGCAGAGAAAGTCCTACAGTTCAGTCAGGAGACAAACTTGACGGCCCTGCTGCTGGAGGCCAAAGAGCTGGAGGCCCGAGTTATCATCCTGTCTGCAAGGTGAGATTTGGAACAGATTTGATCCACATTTTCTAATTTATCTAGACATGAAACAGTGATTCTTTCAAACGTAACCCTAACGTAAATCAGCCTCAGGGTCCCTGGATTTATATTTACCACAGAAGTGAAGACTCAATTCTGGAAATACTAATTGTTGCTAACTAACTAAGCTAACTAATGTTGGCAAAGATGGGCAGGGGTTCCCAACCTGGCATCCGTGACCCCCCAAGGGGGACCCTACAAGATTGCAGGGGATCCTCACAATTTGTATGTGCTGAGTTTGTTAGGTTAGATTATGTTGTACATCTGAGACCATGGTCTTGATTCGGAAAAGGGTAGAACGCCTTCTCCGGGTCAGGGATGAGGTCCTGCCCCAAGTGGAGGAGTTTAAGTATCTCGGGGTCTTGTTCACGAGTGAGGGAAAACTGGAGCGTGAGATCGATAGGGGGATTGATGCTGCACCTGCAGTGATGCGGGCGTTGTACCGGTCTGTCGTGGTGAAGAGAGAGCTGAGTCAGAAGGTGAAGCTCTCGATTTACCGGTCGATCTACGTTCCTACCCTCACCTATGGTCATGAGCTTTGGGTAGTGACCGAAAGAACGAGATCACGGATACAAGCGGCCGAAATGAATTTTCTCCGCAGGGTGGCTGGGCTCTCCCTTAGAGATAGGGTGAGAAGCTCGGTCATCCGGGAGGGGCTCGGAGTAGACCCGCTGCTCCTCCACATCGAGAGGAGCCAGTTGAGGTGGCTCGGGCATCTGGTCAGGATGCCTCCTGGACGCCTCCCTGGTGAGGTTTTCCGGGCACGTCCATCAGGGAGGAGGCCTAAAGGAAGACCCAGGACACGGTGGAGGGACTATGTCTCTCACCTGGCCAGGGAACACCTTGGGATTCCCCCGGAGGAGCTGGCCCAAGTGGCTGGGGAGAGGGAAGTCTGGGCCTCTCGACGTAGGCTACTGCCCCCAAGACCCGACTCCGGATAAGCGGATGAAAATGGAAGGATGGATGGATGGGTGTGTTGGACAAATGACATTAATTTCTCTCCTCCTGCTCCCTCATATCATCACACAAACATACACATAGGACCTTGGGGGGTGGGCAAGTCAGGGAGTGCGGGTATGGACCCCATTCCCGCATTCCTGTGGCAACCTGCCCCCCAATTTTATTTGCACCTTATACACTTCCACTGACGACATTCCACACAAACACACACTTAGGGCCTTGGGAGTGAGCACATTCAACAGCATTTGGCAAGGGGATCTTTCAGCCTCCTCCCGGGTGCCGGTGCCCACTTCCAATTTTAAACCGCATTTATACACCGAGGGCTGAGGGTGTCAGTGGGATGGTGCGTTGGCATCAGCTGGTATAGGCCGGATGATGCCCGCACTGCCCGCTCATCACAGCCATGGTATACACCTCATGATCACACAACACTATATTGGAGCAGGCAGAGGGAGACTAGGGGTCTTAGCCACCTCTGTTGTTGCTTGGCTTCCTGGGGCTGGAGGCTAGGAGGGAGATCTGGCCGTCTGGTTGGGGTCTGGGGTGGTGGGTTGCTGTGCACTGCTCAGCGTTGGGTGGGGGAGCCTGCTCATCAGCACCCCAGCAGAAAGGGTCAAACTTTGGTTACCGGTGATGGTTGTACCCAGTGTGCTGCAGTACCGGGACCAGAGTGAATAGGGTGTGTATGGGGAGCATGAGTGGGTGTCCGGCGTGCATTTTTGTAAGTCTTGGGTTGTATGTGTATGTGTGAGCATGAGGGAGGGAGTATGTGACTGTGTTTGTGTATGACTGTTTATGTCAGGTGGGGCCTTTGACTCCTCCCCTAACCCTAACCCTAACCCTACAAAGCATTCAAAAACAATAACAATAAAGTTTTAAGTATCAGGCGTGACATTAAAAGCAGACGCTTTGATGCTCCACCTGAGAGTAAATCTGTAAGTCTTGTTACCAGCATTCAGACATCAATTCTGTTTGCTTCACAGCCAGACAGAACACGGTAAAAATAAAAAAAGACATTAATGAAATCCCACTGACACACCCAATAATTTATAACCAAACATCTGTAAAAGAGTTATAACGCTGTATGTCTACACACTTTTATATTTAATCACTTATAATTGTGTGCATGCGGGTAGGAGTCGGAGTTTGGGGCCCCTGGCTTGTCTTAGACAGGAAAGAGGATCCTTGTGAACTAAAGGGGTGGGAGCCAGTGGTCTAGGGCGGGGGTCGGCAACCCGCAGCTCTGGGGCCGCATGCAGCTCTTCCATCCATCTGATGCGGCTCTCTGTGCTTGTAAAATAATGACTGGGTATTTAAATAAAAAGCTTTATATTTTACTGCATAAATTTTACATCTGTATGCCAATTCTAAATGTAAAGATTGTCTGCGTAAACCTGAACAGGCCCAACCCGGTCTGACTGTGAGACCGGGTTGATGCGTCACGCTTGTGCGTAATCATATCGGCGCATTCTGAGCTGAAGAGGATGTGAGATTCTGGGATTCTCCTCAGACGGCTCCTGGATGTGTCGCCACAGGGTTAGGGTTATATATATATATATATATATATATATATATATATGTATATGTATATACAGTGGGGCAATTTAGTCAGCCACCGATTGTGCAAGTTCTCCCACTTAAAATGATGACAGGGGTCAGTAATTTACATCATAGGTACATTTCAACTGTGAGAGACAGAATGTGAAAAAAAACTCCATGAATTCACATGGTAGGATTTTTAAAGAATTTATTTGTAAATCAGGGTGGAAAATAAGTATTTGGTCAATAACAAAAATTCAACTCAATACTTTGTAACATAACCTTTGTTGGCAATAACAGAGGTCAAACAATTACTATACGTCTTTACCAGGTTTGCACACACAGTAGCTGGTATTTTGGCCCATTCCTCCATGCAGATCTTCTCGAGAGCAGTGATGTTTTGGGGCCGTCGCCGAGCAACACGGACTTTCAACTCCCTCCACAGATTTTCTATGGGGTTGAGGTCTGGAGACTGGCTAGGCTACTCCAGGACTTTCAAATGCTTCTTACGGAGCCACTCCTTTGTTGCCCGGGCGGTGTGTTTGGGATCATTGTCGTGTTGGAAGACCCAGCCACGTTTCATCTTCAAAGCTCTCACTGATGGAAGGAGGTTTTGGCTCAGGATCTCACGATACATGGACCCATTCATTCTGTCCTTAACACGGATCAGTCGTCCTGTCCCCTTAGTAGAAAAACAGCCCCAAAGCATGGTGTTCCCACCCCCATGCTTCGCAGTAGGTATGGTGTTCTTGGGATGCAACTCAGTATTCTTCTTCCTCCAAACATGACGAGTTGAGTTTATACCAAAAAGTTCTACTTTGGTTTCATCTGACCACATGACATTCTCCCAATCCTCTGCTGTATCATCCATGTGCTCTCTGGCAAACTTCAGACGGGCCTGGACATGCACTGGCTTCAGCAGCGGAACACGTCTGGCACTGCAGGATTTGATTCCCTGCCGTTGTAGTGTGTTACTGATGGTGACCTTTGTTACTGTGGTCCCAGCTCTCTGCAGGTCATTCTCCAGGTCCCCCCGTGTGGTTCTGGGGTTCTTGCTCACCGTTCTCATGATCATTTTGACCCCACGGGATGAGATCTTGCGTGGAGCCCCAGATCGAGGGAGATTATCAGTTGTCTTGTATGTCTTCCATTTTCTGATAATTGCTCCCACAGTTGATTTTTTCACACCAAGCTGCTTGCCTATTGTAGATTCACTCTTCCCAGTCTGGTGCAGGTCTACAATTCTTTTCCTGGTGTCCTTCGAAAGCTCTTTGGTCTTGGCCATAGTGGAGTCTGGAGTCTAACTGTTTGAGGCTGTGGACAGGTGTCTTTTATACAGATAATGAGTTCAAACAGGTGCCATTAATACAGGTAACGAGTGGAGGACAGAAAAGCTTCTTAAAGAAGACGTTACAGCTCTGTGAGAGCCAGAGATTTTCCTTGTTTGAAGTGACCAAATACTTATTTTCCACCCTGATTTACAAATAAATTCTTTAAAAATCCTGCCATGTGAATTCATGGATTTTTTTTCACATTCTGTCTCTCATAGTTGAAGTGTACCTATGATGTAAATTACTGACCACTGTTATCATTTTAAGTGGGAGAACTTGCACAATCGGTGGCTGACTAACTACTTTTTTTGCCCTACTATATGTATATATATATATATATATATATATATATATATATATATATATATATATATATATATATATTAGAAATAATCATTAAAAATGTGATCTCAGTGTTCTGCACCTTTAACTTTTCTCCATAATAATATAAATCATTCATGATGTTACAACAAAGAAAAACCATATGCTTGAAAAGGCTCGTTTTTCTAAGTTAGCATGCTGGTATAAGAAATTCACTCTTTCTTGTATTTTTGCTAAATCCCAGCGAGGACGACGCTGCTGCTGTGTACAAAGCTGCCCGCTTCCTCAACATGACGGGCTCGGGATACGTATGGCTGGTGGGCGAGCGGGAGATGTCGGGTAAAGCCTTGACTGAGGCTCCAGACGGTACGTCCATCCTGCACCCCCCACCACCACCACCTTGACTTTGTTAACCCGGCAGGACACATGTAGGTTTACAGAGTTATGCTAGCGGTGAACACTGGGGTTACACTCCTGTTAACTGTTGAAACAAGCATCTCCTGTTTAAAGGTTCACACGTGCAGACACTCGAGTTTTTATATGATCCAGGATTTTCCAGAACCACTTTAATGTTGCTTATGTTTATGTTTATGTATTTAGCTGACCGATATAGCGGCTGGTTGATATATCGGGCCGATATATTACATTTTTCTATATCGACCATCGGCCAAAATTATTTTTAAAAGCTGATAAAATAAATAAATAAATCAGACACCTGAGTGGCCAACTGCCACCACTACTAGACTGAAGAAAGGACCCGAAGGATCCCAACACAACTTTTTTTTATGTTTTGAGTTTGTTTTATATTTGAAGTTCCATAAATATTAAGAGATTTATTGGCTTATTTAATTTATATTGCACACAGTGAGTGTTCTGTTGTCTTTCACAATCAATGTGCTGCTAAAATATATATACATATATATACATATACATATATATATATGTATATGCATATATATGTGTGTGTGTATATATATATATATATATATATATATATATATATATATATATATATATATATATATATATATATATATATATATATATATATATATATATGTATATATATATATATATATATATATATATGTATATATATATATATATATATATATGTATATATATGTATATGCATATATATGTATATATATATGTATATATATATATATATATATATGTATATATATGTATATATGTATATGCATATATATGTATATATATATGTATATATGTATATATGTATATGCATATATATGTATATGCATATACATATATATGCATATATATATATATATATATATATATATATATATATATATATATGCATATATATATATATATATATATATATATATGCATATATATGCATATACATATATATGTATATGCATATATATGCATATACATATATATGTATATGCATATATATGCATATACATTAGACTTTCATATATATTAGATTCATTACACACAACTGAAGTAATTCAAGCCTTTTATTGTTTCTTAGATTGATGATTGTGGCGTACAGCTCATGAAAACCCAAAATTCCTATCTAAAAAAATTAGCATATTTCATCCAACCAATAAAAGAAAAGTGTTTTTATACAAAAAAGTCAACCTTCAATTAATGTTCAGTTATGCACTCAGTACTTGGTCGGGAATCCTTTTGCAGAAATGACTGCTTCAGTGCGGCGTGGCATGGAGGCAATCAGCCTGTGGCACTGCTGAGGTGTTATGGAGGCCCAGGATGCTTCGATAGCGGCCTTAAGCTCATCCAGAGTGTTGGGTCTGGCGTCTCTCAACGTTCTCTTCACAATATCCCACAGGTTCTCTACGGGGTTCAGGTCAGGAGAGTTGGCAGGCCAGTTGAGCACAGTAACACCATGGTCAGTAAACCATTTACCAGTGGTGTTGGCACTGTGAGCAGGTGGCAGGTCGTGCTGAAAAATGAAATCTTCATCTCCATAAAGCTTTTCAGCAGATGGAAGCATGAAGTGCTCCAACATCTCCTGATAGCTAGCTGCATTGACCCTGCCCTTGATAAAACACAGTGGACCAACACCAGCAGCTGGCATGGCGCCCCAGACCATCACTGACTGTGGGTACTTGACACTGGACTTCAGGCATGTTGGCATTTCCCTCTGCCCAGTCTTCCTCCAGATTCTGGCACCTTGATTTCTGAATGACGTGCAAAATTTACTTTCATCTGAAAAAAGTCCTTTGGACCACTGAGCAACAGTCCAGTGCTGCTTCTCTGTAGCCCAGGTCAGGCGCTTCTGCCGCTGTTTCTGGTTCAAAAGTGGCTTGACCTGGGGAATGTGGCACCTGTAGCCCATTTCCTGCACACGCCTGTAGGCCTCTAGGTGACATGTACTCTTTTAGGCTGATTGAAGACCAGACAGGCCATTGCATTCTGGACCATTTGAAGAGGTCTCACAGTACAGCCTGGAAGACCAGTTAGAAGGGCATTGCAGTAGTCGAGGTGGGAGATGACAGTAGATTGCACCAGGAGCTGAGTGGCATGTTGTGTTAGGTACGGTCTGATCTTTCGTATGGCATACAGCACGAAGCGGCATGAACGGGCGACAGAAGCAACGTGATCTTTAAAGGTCAGCTGGTCATCAATCACAGCACCCAAGTTTTGAACTGCCTTTGAAGGAGCCAGAGATAGAGAATCATTCTGGATTGAGATATTGTGCCGGATGGATGGTTTTGCTTGGATGACAAGTAATTCCGTTTTAGTGAGGTTGAGTTGGAGATGGTGGGATATCATCCATCTTCATATGTCAGAGGGACAGTCCAAGATTCGTGCAGAGGCTATGAGGACGTGCGACGGGAATGACAGATAGAGCGGGGTGTCGTCGGCATAGCAGTGGTGAGAGAAGCCATGTGAACGAATGTTCTCACCCAGTGAGGTGGTGTATATATTTATATTAATATCCTGGTTTTCCAGCTGTCCCCCACAACTTTTGTAAACTCACAAGGATGATTTTGATCAGCAAAAGCAAATTGGCTAAATCTAGCCTCGTTTTTGTTCAGGGCTAGGGTTATGACTGCGGAACTAAACATTTTTTTATTCTTTCTTTCATCATTAAAAAAAAGAACGTTTGTTTTAAGTCATAAGTGTTAATAAAGAACAGATACACATCAAACAACTGATGTTTTGATGTGTTGAGACATGAAAACTGGAGCTCAGAAAGCTTTTTTCCCACTTCACACACTGAAAAAGGACCCCGCTCTGCTCAGATCTGTGATTCTGATTGTTGTCGACCCACTCTCAGGACTGATCGCCCTCCAGCTCATCAATGGGAAGAATGAGTCGGCCCACATCAATGATGCTGTGGCCGTGGTGGCTCAGTCCATCCAAGAGCTTTTTGAGAAGGAAAACATCACAGAACCTCCGAGAGGATGCGTGGGCAACACCAACATCTGGAAAACGGGCCCTCTCTTCAAACGGTGAGAAGGACACCGGTTTTATTTTCATTTTCTTAATCTAAAATGTTTTTGAGTACAACAAAGGACTTGTGCAAAGCTGTGAAAACAAAGAGCACAAGACCAAACTTCAAATAAATAAGAAAAATTAACACAGTATTTCCAAAATAAAGGCAAACTTCAAAAGGTGGCAATTTTAGGAAAAGTCTGAGAAATCAACTCACATTCTTCTCCTGATCAGACTGTCATCATCATGTTTATTGGTATTTAATTGGGGGTCAAATTTAGATTTTGAGACAGTTTACAGACACCAGGTCATGCTTTACGATCTGATGTTTGAGACTCTTATTGTGAAGGATGTTCTGACTTCCTCTGTGAATGCTGCTGCTTTTGAAGTAGCCAATAGACATCAACAGACTCCTGTATATTACCACCAAGTGGTAGACATTTCTACAAAAACATGCATCTGGAGGTGAATTGAGATGGTCCAAACACCACTTCAGCAATTCTGCATGTTGAATTTTTTTCTTGTTTAAAAAACATTTTAAAGTTGAAATTATAGAACAATTAAAAAATTGTGAATATAACCATGCATGTTCTCTTATCTGGCAGATGCTTTGTCCAAAGCACCGACTATCCACAGTCAGGTGACGGGCGTAGAGGGAAGTGTGTAGGGCAGGTGTTAGGTTAGGAGATGCTCTCTAGAGCTGGATCATCAGGAGATAAACCTGCTCTGGTAGACCTTTATAGATCATTCCATCATTGTGGGAAAACACAGAAACCAGTCTGCATTGTAGAGCGTGGTGTCGGCACCGCCAGCTGATTATCCTTAGATGACCGGAGCGACCGAGTCGTGACATAAGCCTCTGGATGGGAGCCGCTCCATTCAGGCTAACGTCAGAGTTGGCAGTAATTTCTTTTGTCAGTCCTGACTAGGAACTGTTTCAGCTGACCTACTTAAAGCTGCTTCTCAGCACCCTCCCCCCAAAAAGAAAACTCTCCATTTCCAAACAGACAGCGCAGCGTTCCTCGCTCTGTCATGTTCATCATGGTTTGATATTTTATCGCTGCAACAGGGTGCTGATGTCATCGAAATATCCAGAAGGCCTCACGGGGCGCGTTGAGTTCAATGACGACGGAGACAGGAAGTACGCCCACTACAGCATCCTCAACTATCACAAGTCTCGCCTTGTTCAAGTCGGCATTTACAACGGAACTCAGGTGGGACACGAGTGGCCTTTTTCATAGCAAAGAGTGAGTTTTATGTTTTATTTCACCGCCCACAGGTTCAATCCAGACAGCTGTCTTGGTGCTGATTTTTGTCTCATATCTCCTAAAATACATCAAGTTGGACAGCTGGACGGGGAATGGCGTGCCTTGGTTTTCTGTAAAAGCTCATTGTAAATTTAAACAATCCCAAAAATAAAGACGGGACTCAGTAGGAAAATGGAAGCTCTTTTGGAGCTCAGATAACCCTCACTGTACAACGGTGACTGCGGACGGCTATTTTTACCGGAAAACAGATTTTTGCCCTGTAATTATTTTAAGCTTTCAATTATAATTGTCTGGATAAGCTATGCCAGTGTTACACCAAGTTATGCGACCCATCACAATTTGTGTCCCCAGGGGGCAGTGTTGCATTTTGTTGCATCTGTACATCCTGAATTGGCATAAAAGAAGAAGATGCTACGTTAAAACCGTAAACTACGTAAGCTTTGAGGAAGTTGTGCGGCGTGGACCATGGTCACACAATATGACAGTGGCCATCACAGAATGTGACCACCAGCATCTCAGGAATAATGCAGATGTCTTTAATTTTCACTAAAGACAATAACAACAAAAGGCGTTTCGTGATGTTTGTGTCATTTTATCTCCACCAGTACATATGAGCGGCATTGGAGTGACAGGAATAAAAAAAATGTAGTAACCAGATAATCTGCAGTGGTTTAAATAAACTGAGGATGTGGATCACAACAATTTATTTCAATAAATGGAAGTTCTGAACATTTTACCTGCAGACCTCGCATGTTGTAAAATTAATGTTTAATGTTAGCAAACATTTCTTGTCAAAGCCCTGCTTATCGCTGTGTTTATTGTCTCGTTTGTTTGCAATAAACATTAACAAACGCTCTTTTTAATATCCATGGTCCGCGCCACCCGGCTTCCTCAAAGCTTACGTAGTTTACGGTTTTAACGTAGCATCTTCTTCTTTTATGCCAATTCAGGATGCACAGATGCAACAAAACGCAACACTGCCCCCTGGGGTCACAAATTGTGATGGGTCGCAGAATTTGGTGTAACACCAGTATGGACCGTACGCTAGAAACCGCACGATGTTTCCCTCGCAAACAATCGGACGTTTAATCAACGCTGAAAAGACGTCGGGCCGACACGTCCCGTCATGGTTGAAAAATAGTTCCAAAATGAAAGCTGAACCGACGTGTTTTTGGTCGTGAATTACACGTAACAATTATACATGTAACTACAAATCTGAGTGTATTTTTAAGAATTGTTATGTTAATTATTTTTTTACATTTTGGACTGTTTCTACCACGGCCATTTTTGACCATGGACACCGCGTCGCCGCAGGACCAATGTTTTGCAGGGATGATATGTTGAATTACACGTAACTAATTGTCAAAATAACAACTATATATATAACTGTAGGCATGTACAAATGTATCTGAATTGATTTTAAGACATGCTCTGTTATATTTTTTTTACAAATTCGGGCCGTTTGGGGGCAGTTCCTGTGGAGTGGCAGACCGGGGTGGTGGTCCCCATCTTTAAGAAGAGTGACCTGAGGGTGTGTTCCAACTATAGGGGGATCACACTCCTCAGCCTCCCTGGAAAGGTCTACTCCAAGGTACTGGAGAGGAGGGTCCGATCGATAGTGGAATCCCAGATTGAGGAGGAACAATGTGGTTTTCGTCCTGGCTGTGGAACTGTGGACCAGCTCTATACTCTTGTAAGGGTGGTGGAGGGGGCATGGGAGTTTGCCCAACCAATCCACATGTGTTTTGTGGATTTGGAGAAGGCTTATGACCGTGTCCCCAGGGGCACCCTGTGGGGGACGCTCCAGGAGTATGGGGTGGGTGACTTTCTGTTAAGGGCCATTCAGTCCCTTTACCAGAGGAGCGAGAGTTTGGTCCGCATAGCCGGTAGTAAGTCGGACCTGTTCCCAGTGAGGGTTGGACTCCACCAGGGCTGCCCTTTGTCACCGGTTCTGTTCATCACTTTTATGGACAGAATTTCTAGACGCAGCCGTGGTGTGGAGTGTGTCGAGTTTGGTGGCAGGAGAATCTCGTCTGCTTTTTGCGGATGATGTGGTCCTCCTACCTTCATCCAGCTCTGACCTTCAGCTCTTGCTGGGTAGGTTCACGGCCGAGTGTGAAGCGGCTGGGATGAGGATCAGCACCTCCAAATCTGAGACCATGGTTCTCGACCGGAAAAGGGTGGCTTGCCAACTCCAGGTCGGGGGAGAGGTCCTACCTCAAGTGGAGGAGTTTAAGTATCTCGGGGTCTTGTTCACGAGTGAGGGTGGGAGGGATCGGGAGATCGACAGGCGGATCGGTTCGGCGTCTGCAGTGATGCGGACGCTGAGTCGATCTGTCGTGGTGAAGAGGGAGCTGAGCCAGAAAGCCAGGCTCTCGATTTACCGGTCGATCTACGTCCCAGTCCTCACCTATGGTCATGAGCTTTGGGTAATGACCGAAAGAACGAGATCGCGGATACAAGCGGCCGAAATGAGTTTCCTCCGTAGGGTGGCCGGGCTCAGCCTTAGAGATAGGGTGAGGATCTCGGACATTCGGGAGGGACTCGGAGTAGAACCGCTGCTCCTCCGGATCGAAAGGAGTCAGTTGAGGGGGTTTGGGCATCTGGTCAGGATGCCTCCTGGACGCCTCCCTGGGGAGGTGTTTCGGGCATGTCCTGCCGGCAGGAGGCCCCCGGGTCAACCCAGGACACGTTGGAGAGGTTACATCTCCAGTCTGGTCCGGGAACGCCTTGGAGTCCTGCCGGAGGAGCTGGTGGAGGTGGCCGGGGAGAGGACGGTCTGGAGCTCCCTAGTTGGGATGCTGCCCCCGCGACCCGGACCCAGATAAGCGGAGGAAGACGACGACGACGGGCCGTCCTACCGCGACCATTTTTGGACGCGGACACCACGTCGGCGTCGGACCAATGTTTGTTGGGCTGTGTATGTGTCTCACAGGTGTGTGGTTACCATGGTGACCATAATCAGCCACTCACAGCAAAGATAACTTTTATTCTGATCTCTGTGAATTTTACGCTTTGCTTGTTGTTTAAACATCAGAATTTATGAATTCTGGGCAGCAGGTTTATTTCTGGCTCTTTAGAGAAGTTGCAGTTTGAAGCCCAAATGCAACGTCTTTGAAATTTATTCAGGGAATTTTTTATTTTGTCGTCTTCACTGCATCTCAGCGCTCTTTGAATCTATTCCCACGGCTTACTGTCGTTAATTAAAAACCCTAAAAACTCATCAGTGGGTGCAGCTCGATACGTGGAAGGCTCATGATTCTTCCTCTCCGGGAGCCAACGTTAACGGCTCCTAATCATTATGTTATTACCGTTTGGTCATTACGGTACGAATGCAGCAGGGTTACTGGGGGAGTCGCAGCCGGAGAGATGGAAATCCAAATGAGGACAAAGCAGGAACCTGTTGGGTGAAACCATCCCCATCCTCTGATGATGGAGCAGGATATAAAAGCTGCAGCGTAGAAAGGAATGCCCCCGTGTTTTCACTATTGTGTTTAACTAATTAGTTTTGTTTGTGCAGCATTTTGGGTCGTGTGAGCAACAAAGAAAGGTGCTTCATAAATAAAACTGACCTTGATTACGTTCATTTTAACGTTGGTAAATTGTCTTGGATGTTGTGCCTCGCCTGATGCAAAGCTCATTTTTCTCGGGGTACTAATAAAGTTTTTTTTACTTTGAATTACGACTTTGGAAAATACAGCACTTCCTGGGTTTCGGCCTGTGGTGCATCTAAAGACTGATCTGCTTGATCGTGTTTGGCTGTTTCAGATTGTCCTAGTCTTTACAGCGAGATCAGAACATATCAACATGTTTTCCCACCTCACTGGAACCCCTCCTTCCCCGATTCTGCAGCGTGCACACAGCAGCTGATCCAGGAGTCGAGATTTTTGCATAAAATATTCAAGCTGTCAGACTTTCAGATGCTTTTAACTAACATGGTTATTTTCGTAAAGGAGGGCTTTAACAGGAAGTTTCTAATGTATTAAGTTAAGATCATAAGAGTCAGCACTTCCTCGTCATCCTGGTGGATTTATCAGTAAAACCGATGATAAATTCCTGAAACCTTCAGGTGAGATTCCCAACTCAAAGATAAATAAAAGAAGTGTTGAGCTGTGATTATGTAAAGCTGACTCCTTAGTGGTGATCACCCGGAGCGTTGGAGGCTGACCAGCAGCACGCCTTCTGTCTCCTATAACACTGCTCTGTGTTGGCCATCCCTGCAGGTGGTAATGAACAATCAGCGGAAGATCGTCTGGCCTGGAGGAGACACTGAAAAACCACAGGGCTTCCAGATGTCCACACGACTAAAGGTGGGGGGCTTGGCTTGGCTGCTGCAATGTGACAGTCGTGTCCAAACAGAGGGAGAGTTGGCCTGAGCTGTGGTGTGTGTTGAATAGACTATTCCCTTATCTCTGCCATGGACCCTCACAGAAACCAATCAGAGTAGCTCAGCTGTATTTGTGTCTGAGAGCCATAAAACAGGATCATTCAGATATTATGGGCTTCAAGTCTCAGAAATGCCTTGTGAGCTGTTTCCTGTGGAAAACAAACTCTCGCACTGCTGTTTCAGGAAATAGACATTAGTTTGGAGTGTGGGGATTATGAGTCTTACTCATTAATATTTATGATGTGCTAACAGATCTCCTCTGATTGGCTAACAGCAACACAACACTTCCTATCCATGCACTCAACAAAACTCAAAACTGTAACATTGGACGAGAATGTCTTGTTCATTTGTTCCCGAGTCAAAGTACGAAGGAGACACGGAAGAAGAACCGCTCCCTGACTGTCAGGACGTTTCAGAACGATGCTAATTTCAAGTAAATGTACGTTTTCTCCTAAAAGGGCAAAACGTTTGTGGTGATCGTCACAACGCTTGAAGTTGCAGTAAAACCAAAGTTTTCCCAACAAGACGTTGTAAAAAATGTTGACCAGCTGCTAGCCGACCTTCCCGTGGGCGGGCGGAGTCATGAATGCTAACTGTGACGTAGAAGAGGCTGACAAGAAGACCTGATCGTTTTCCCATCTATTTCCTTTCTGCGGCTGATCTTTGCGATGGGGGTTGAAGAAAATTCACGTTCAGCATGGCTCAGGGTGGCGGTCGTATTTTGGAGAGAAGAATTATGCAGTTTCTAAGCGACCAAACCTTTTAAATAACAATTAATAAAACATCCAGAAACATTTTGCAGCCAGAGCTGGTCTTAAAGGTCAGAGTTCACCAGCCTCAGCCTTGCCTGGACTGTGAGGCTGTTCAGCCTTCGGCCTGAAGGAGTAGGGTGGATGACGCCTGAGCGGTCCCTGTCTGATGCTTCCTGAAACTCTCGTTCCACAATAAAAGCCTCCTGAAAAGACGCGACTCCGTAGATGACATAAATCAGTCCCATCTCTTCAAACGTGGCATCTTGACAAAGACCTGGAGTTAATCAGGAGGGTTAAGGCTGACAGGATGAGAGAAGCGTGAGTGTGTGGGCGTCTGGAAGATTTAGGTATTGTATTTTTGGGATGTTCTGAGGATTGGGATGAATCCAGCTGTGAGTAGTTCCTTTTCCATCTGTTGCAGATTGTGACTATTCACCAGGAGCCGTTTGTGTATGTGAAACCCACGATGGCAGACGGGACGTGCAAGGAGGAAATTACATTAAACGGAGTCTTAATTAAAAAGGTTATCTGCACTGGACCCAACGAGACTATCCCAGGTAAAACATGGCTTCTTGGAACGTAGAGATGCATAAATGTAGATGCAGCGTTGGGTGTGTGCACTTCCTGATTCATGTCACACATTCAGTTCAGTTTGCATTTCCCAGTTTTTAAACATAATCAGACGTATAAATGCATTGCTGGTTTACCACAGGACGCCCGACAGTGCCCCAGTGTTGCTACGGTTTCTGCATTGATCTCCTCATCAAGTTGGCCATGACCATGAACTTCACCTATGAGGTGCACCTGGTTGCTGACGGGAAGTTTGGAACGCAGGAGCGAGTAAGTTTGTATTTTCTTTGTGCACCAAACTCATTTTGCATGCAGTATTTTGTATTCAGTGCTTTTTGTTCTGCTCTCGCTTAAGACTGAACCGAAACCATCAACCAGCTTTAAGAAACTATGACAAATGTTCAGCAGGGATCTGCTGAGGGTGTCAGTTTCCTAATGTGAGCAATTTTTTAATAAAGCAAAACCAAGAAAAATCAACAATGAGTTATAAAAGTCATCTTCTTGGGTGAATTTCTCCTCAGAATGGAGCTCTGTGGCTCTGATGGCAGATGTAGAGTTTCTGTTTCCTCTTAAAATATGAAATGAGTTTTAAATGTGAACGTTATAAAATCTCTGCAACCAAACGGGAACATTTTAATAAACCTTTTCTTTCTCTTTCAAGTGATTCATAATTAGCACAAAGTCTCGGCTGATTAGATGTTCCCGTTTGTGCTGCTTTGAATAATCAAGATTGAAAATGCTGTTTGGATTTAATCAGATGCTTTTCACTTTCTGATGTTAGTCCAGTTTTGTCTTTATTTATTCATGAGATGCTTTTACTGCATCACGGTTTATCTAACTCTGTGTTGTAACGAAGTTCCCTTTTTGGCCGCTTTGCTTTTCGAAAAGTGAAAAAACGTGAAAAAGGGTTTTTATGCAGAACTAACAGGACACACATAGTTAGGCCAACCCCACAGGACCGCTCTAGTGAGACACTTCTATAAAGTTTAGGTCTTTGTTTTTGCCTTTGTGTCACACCTTTGCTGCAGAAATACGTTGTACTTGTTAACCAGGTCTGGCCATGCCTCTGGGCATTAACACTTTAACTACAATCAGAATCTGGGTTACAGAGGCAAAGCTGTGAAATCTGGTTGCTGGTTGGTTGCTGTGTGCAGGGTAAACTGGAGCGCTCAGGTGAGAATCTCCTCTCCATCTGGGTTAAGGTTATGTCGGTGGAGGAGAAGTGAAGGCGAACCAAAAATAACCCCCATTCTTATTCATAATACATTACAGCCGGGCATCCCACTGTGGAGCCGCAGTGCTGCAGCAGCAATCCACATAAATCACAAAGTACACATATGGAAGTACACACGATGCAAAAAGCTGAATGACGAGGGCACGCGGGAGTAAACACAAGGACCAAACGAGCTGCCGTTTGAAGAGGTTTATTTTTGCAGACATTTTCATCACGAAGCAGCTTTTATGGAAGATAAACGCCGAATAAAACTTCATATCTTCAGTCCTGCTGGTGTCAGGGTCTTTATGTTTTTTTTTTCCTTTTATTGTAATTTGGTACATTTGGTGAAACAAATCCCTGCTCTCATCTCAGGCTCCATTCTTCTATCGGAGACATACTCTTATATAACATGTACACAAATAGTACCCAAAATAAAACCGTTACGAGTTAAAAATATCACTGGTTGAATTATTAAGAAAGCAAAGTGTAAGAGGAACCCAAGTGGTTTCACAGCAGGATCCAGGCTTGTAGTTGCAAGTTTACGGATGTTCACCAGGATGTTTTGTCATATAGAGTTGTTCTTTGTCGTCGTGTTCACACTTGAGTTGCTCGTTTTGTGTCTTACTAACCTTCGTGTTGGATTAGTGAAGCTTTGATACCACGTGTGCACGGGGTTTCTGGGTTAACGCCACATGATAGCAGAGAGAAAAGTACCGAGAGTTATGCCAAGCTCATTATTAAACGAAAATGCTGCGTAGATGCAAGGGACGCTCTTGCAAAGCGCATGCTGGAGGGTACATTTCTCAGACTGACTCGAAATAACGTCACACGTGTTGCTTTGGACGTGTCTCTGTGTTTGGTGACGATTTGGTGCAAAGGGACACTCATCAACGAAAACATGGCTGAGTGAGTTTGGTATGGAGGAACCGGACTTCCCCGCACAGAGTCCTGATCTAGACCTGATAAAAACACCCTAGGGGATGAATTAGAGTGCAGACTGTGAGGCCTTCTCATCTAACATTAGTGCCTGGTATCACAAATGGTTAACAATCCACAAACACGTCCCTAAACCTTGTAGAAAGCCTTTTTAGAAGAGCTGATGTGGTTGTGTGTCATGTTCATTCTAACTCTAGGCCTCAGCTCCACTTATGACTTCAAAGTTTGGCTTGACAGACCGACCTCAAGCACCAGAAATACTCAGAGACTTAAGTTTGGTTGTCTCTGGTAAAAAAAAAACCTGAGTCAGGACACAAAGGATCTTATTTTGGTAGCGAAGTTACCGACAGGTTTTACTTATTCAATCAAACAAATGTCTGAACAAGTACAGAGACAACCTCGGGGGAACTAAAAGTCTGTTCCCTTAAAGGTGTGGTTCACTCGTTTAATCAGTATGTTTGCAGTGGTCTCTAGTAGGAATGAATGCCTTGGAAGTCGTATGGAATGGGGGGGGGGGGGGGGGGGCTCAGTTGGCTACAGGATATGGAGTCCTGATAGGTGGACATCTCTTCTCTGATTGGCTAACAGCAACACAACTCTACCAGCGACTCTGTTTGCTCTGCAACGTTGATGTTTTATCTCCACTAATAACACAAGCCTGGAGGAGTTCTGCTGTGGGGTGGAGTTGCTAATGCTAACAGTTAGCTTCTACTAGCAGAGACGTTCTCTGCCGTTTCCTGGACGCTAAACCAACAACAGCCTTCCCCGTCGTGAGTCCAGATGGGTGAGTCCATGAATGTTAGTGACAGGGTGACGTAGATCTGTCAGGATTTTCTAATCCTAGAGTTTCACCGTCTGTTTTATACCAGAAGCTACTGCAGGAGACAGGTGTAGGAGACTATTTTCATGTTCGGCCTGCATGTATTATAGTCTGTGAACCACACCTTTATCTTCGGCTCATGTACTTTACTTGGAGTACCTTGTGTACTACCTCATCTGGCTTGCTTTGTGGAAAATAATTGTCATCCCTCAAACCTGGAAAGGCCTCGGTCTGGTCTTCCAATTATACTTCATCCCATTCCTCTAAATCCTCTACCTTACCTGACAACACTTGGTCCAGGTAAGTGGGTGACCTTTAAAACATCTCCCACTTCCATATACTCAGGAGCAGGTGGTGTGGCAAGGTGGAGAAACGAGGGCCCGGGCGGGATTCGATTCCCAGACTCCCCGGTGAGAATCACGCGTGCTGACCAGTCAGCCAAAGGGACACCCCCTTGGCCAAGTAGCCAGGGCGCATGATCTTTAAGGACACAGTGACAGGACGCTCACACTACCACGTCTCAACGTGAAGGCAAACACTTCCTGCAGAAAATAATCAAAATTATCCTCAATTCTGGAGAAAAAGCTCATTCATGTTACTTGGATGGAGAGTACAATAGCAAGTCCCGGGAGAAGGGAAAGCACTCTGTCTGGCATTTTTGTCCTTGGCCTTGGAATGTCTTGGGATTACTCAGGAGATAGATGGAGTGTGTTCCTAGGGAGAGGGATCTGTGGGTTTCCCACTTGGATCTGTTGCCTCCATGACCTGGTTTCAGTTCATGAACTAGATTTGGTGTATTTTAGTAGCATGAGATAAAAGTTATGAGCTTCGTGATTATGCATTACTGAATTTTGCTCCCATCAGTTTTCACAACTTTAATAATTAAAATAATAACCTTATTCATCTCCAACATAGGCCATCCATAGATGGGAGCACGCAGCTCACGGTTGTTTTCTACAGCTTGTGTTCTGCAGGACACGACACAGAGAAGAGTTGGCTCTCTTTTCATAAATTAGACGAGGCAGGCTCTGAATTTTAGAGATCTAGCACCTGCCTTGCACTTGCTTACATCCCCTCTTGGCTTATCCCAAATCCTAAAAGTCTGGAAACAGGCTGATCGCTGATTCTCATGATAACACTTTCCTTTTTGTACTTCAGGTGAACAACAGTAACAAGAAAGAGTGGAATGGAATGATGGGAGAGCTCCTGGGAGGCCTGGCTGACATGATCGTTGCTCCGCTGACTATAAACAACGAACGGGCCCAGTACATAGAGTTCTCCAAACCTTTTAAATATCAAGGGCTTACTATTCTTGTCAAAAAAGTAAGTAACATATTTAGTCCTCAGCTATGCCGACTCACCATAAGGGAGTTGTATGTATCGTAATCTTATGATCAACTCTAATGTTTGAGGAAATTGATATTTTTGTTTTAGGACCTCGCTCAGGGAGTGTTTCTTGATGATAGTTGAGGTTGTTTGAGATCTAATTTATCAAAGTTTAGCTGCATTAATGAAAATGTTTGTGTATTTTAACCAGCCATGAATTAGCCAATAACTTTATCAGCCATCCTACCTTTATACACAAATCATACTTAAGAGAATACGGTTTTTAAAAGTTGTGTGGATCCGACAGTAAAAACATTGAACGCCAAATTCACAAAGAAACAGTTTTTACTTGTTTCTTTTGTTTTATGATTGATGTTCTGAGCTACATGTGAAAACAGTCTCCTGCACCTATAACCTGCATTAGCTGCTGATAGAAAATAGACAGGTGCTATGGTTGGCCGCTGTACCAGGAAGCAGCACGAGTAGTCAAGAATTCCTTTTCCAACGGTGTTTCTCAATGTCAAGGCGCCTGGCCTTGCGAGGCGATGTCTAGCGAGGTCAGGCGCCTTGCTTACGAGGACACGATCCTTCCTTGGTCAAAGAAAACGGTTAAATGGAACAGTCTTGCATCACATGACCACGGCTTCCACGGCGGACACATAACATCACGTGACACGGGAGACAACGTTATATTTTATACGTATTAGTTTCAATATAAATATATAACGAGCCTTTTACTTTTTAAATTGTGTATTTGTTTATTAAATTAAATATATAAGCGAGTTACTACCCGCTAGCCACCGAAGCTGCAGCTACTAAGCTACTAACCAACCATAGATAACTTCTTTGGATCTAAAATAACATTTTAAATTAGCTGACTTACTTTTAAACTTGAAAATTGTCCCCGAAGTAGCTGCCGACTTCTGATCCGCCGTCCTTTTGAAAATACCGCAGTGTATTCTGGGTAATTTTTGACCAAGGCTAGGCTACAAGACACCTCCCGTGTATCCTTGCTCAGCTAGCTAAACGGCTAACAAACGGAGAACACACGCGTCGGTAGAACATGAACGTTGGAACACGTCTTGGCAGCTCCTGAGACGTATCTCCTAGGCAACCGGGGCGGGGCCAAGACATCAAGGTGAGGTTCCTTGGCATTGGGAAACACCCTATAGCTTTACTTTAACTTGCATCACATGTGGCAGCCAGGCATCTATGTTAACTTGTCACTCACTTCTTTCACATATGTGTCTTATTCTATACTGCCCCCTAGTGGTAGAAACAACTCCGGGGAAATGCTCGGACTGGAAAATCCTGACAACTGCATGTTGCATTGTCAAATTAGCCTTCATGGACTCGCCCATCTTGTCTCGTGACGGGGAAAGCTGTTGTTGGTTTGGCGTCTACGAAACAGCAGTGAATGTCACAGCTAACAGAAGCTAACTGTTAGCATCAAGGGCGTCAGTTTGTTTTCAGAATTGCTGGGGACAATAACCATACACTTGAGTGGGGTTTAAAAATTGCTGGGGACAATAAAGGCAGGCTTTTTTGAAAGTGGGGGGGACACAGCTGCCAATCACAAATGTTGCCGGGGACATGTCCCCGGCGTCCCCGGTTAAAATGACGCCTATGGTTAGCATTAGCAATGCCACAACACAAATTTACTCCAGGCTTGTGTGATTAGTGGAGAGCAAACAGAGTCAGAGTCGTGTTGCTGATAGCCAATCAGAGGAGAGATGTTGAAATATCAGGAAATAAGATTTTGTAATCTGCCGTGTTCTGTTCACCTCAGCTCGGGCTCAATTGTAATTTCTGAAAAGGAAGCGCCAGAGCGTTTTCTCCACAGAGATCAGCTCACAAGGCATGCTTTTAAACTAAAGACCAGTGAAAATGTGTCCAAATGAAAAAAACAAGTGAACTTAGTCTTTAAATTAAACAACGAGGGACGGAACAACTGGTGGACTAGAATGAAACGTTACATTAGCACCTGAGATGCATGGTTTTAGGTTAGCAACACAACGCTCTCCAGTAGGGAAACAGCCGATGCTAAAGTGATGAGACATAAAACTTTCGACATGGGTTCCTGCTAAAGGAATTCTGTGTTTCACTTCAGACGTCAGAACCCTTGAACCAAGGCGTTGGCTTGATTCGATTAGCAAATACCAGCAGGAAACTGTAGAAACTGACACAGGACTTGAGTCCGGGGTTCAGCTGGTTTGTTGTCATTCTGTCATAAACAGGAAGGTGCAGGATGATTCGTTTAAAAAGCTATTTAAGTGCTGAAACTATCATCAAACGTGAAAGGACGAAGCATTTCTATTTGTGTTGTGTAAAGTAGAGTCCAAAGGCCCGCTCACCGACACCACCATGCGGGGCTGTTTTCAGCCAGAGTCTCATTTCTACACAATCATGGTTGTTCTTAACTAATCACCACTCAACATATTAGATCAGCCAATGTTTGATCAAACAGCAGCACAGTAAGGACAAGAATGAACTGAAGTCCACACCTGGAACACGTCTAGAAGGTTTATCTTTATGTTTGTTTGTGTCAGAAGACCCCTCCCATTTGTATGGGGCGGGGTTAAAACCCAAGCCAGCCACTGAGGGAACTAACTACACTCCTGGGTTTAGTCGTGTTTGTTGCTAGAGCATTAAGAAAGGTGTCTTTTTAAATGTAAGAGAGTCTGCCAGTAACCATTTACGGTGTGTGTTTCTAGGAAATCCCTCGAAGTACTCTGGATTCATTTATGCAGCCGTTCCAAAGCACACTGTGGCTGCTGGTGGGTCTTTCGGTGCATGTGGTGGCGGTGATGCTTTACCTTCTAGACCGGTTCAGGTACAAGGAGGACCTGTTTGTCCATATATGTGTTTAGTTGGGTCTTCACAGTGTGTGTGAGTAGATGCACTCCTTAGCACCGCAGATCTTCCCTTTGTGGACAACCTGGCAGACCAAGGTGAAGATGGGCTCCGATCATCCCACTGCTCTGTCACTGTGCTGCTGTCTTTGGCCCGTTTCCTTTTGTTAGGAGTTTGTGTCTGTCTTGCTTTGCTCGCTCATGTTCAGTTCCCTCTTTGGCTCGGGGTCCATGCCTCTGCGGGTTCTCAGTTACTTTCGTTTTATCTTCTGCAACCCTTCCAATTTCTTCCCTCTAGTCCATTTGGAAGATTTAAAGTAAATAGTGAAGAAGAGGAAGAAGACGCCCTCACCTTGTCATCTGCCATGTGGTTCTCCTGGGGAGTGCTGCTGAACTCTGGAATAGGAGAAGGTGAGACAGAGCAGCTGTTGGAGCTGAAATACACACTTATCAAACCTGTTCTGAGCCAAATGTGGTGAGACAATATTAACCCTAAACTTGGTCGGCTAAAGCTCATCTTGAACCTCTCATGCAGGTGCACCACGCAGCTTCTCAGCGAGGATCCTGGGCATGGTGTGGGCTGGTTTTGCTATGATCATTGTGGCTTCCTATACTGCCAACCTGGCTGCCTTCCTGGTGCTGGACCGGCCTGAGGAGCGCATCACCGGCATCAATGACCCAAGGGTGGGTCCTTCAGCACTTCAACGTCAATCATGTCAAAAACTTAAATAAAGGCTCTACTCACTCTTAGTTGTTGTCTGTGTGCAGCTCAGGAACCCATCTGACAAATTCATCTATGCCACGGTGAAGCAGAGCTCCGTGGACATATACTTCCGGCGACAGGTGGAGCTTAGCACTATGTACCGTCACATGGAGAAGCACAACTATGAGAGTGCCGCCGAGGCCATCCAGGCCGTGCGTGACAAGTGAGTCTCGGCCAGGCTGGGCCGACCGGGGAAGCGTCGGCCGGATGCTTGACGTAGACTAAGGCAAACCCAGGTTATCTCAGGGTTAGGGACATGGACCACTGGACCAGGTAGAAGTAGCAGGACTTACTGCAATGTTCACTCTGATTCGGGTCCATCACCCAGCTCAGGCAGAAGTTGAGAAGCAGGTGTGAACGTGTCAGCCATCACTGACGCGAGTGGAGGTTGAGCTAACGTTGAATCCAGGAGCACCCTCTTTCAGGTTTTACCCAGATGAACACCTTTGAGATTTGTGGAATCCAGTGAGGCAGATGCCCTCGCCCATTTGGCTTTGGATTTCAGTTGGGCCCGCTGGTAAACGCTGAAATGACATGCATGACTTGGTGTGCGAGAAAGAGAAGGTTGGGAGCCGTAAATGTGTATGTAAATCATTGTACTGTTGCATCGTAACCCCCTCCTTCCCCTCCTCCTCCCTCCCTCCCCCACAGCAAGCTGCATGCTTTCATCTGGGACTCTGCGGTGCTGGAGTTTGAAGCCTCGCAGAAGTGCGACCTGGTGACCACGGGAGAGCTGTTTTTCCGTTCGGGCTTTGGCATAGGCATGCGCAAGGACAGCCCCTGGAAACAGAATGTGTCCCTGGCCATTCTCAGGTCTGTCCCAGCGGAAGCTGCGTTTCTCGTATGACTTTTACTTTTTTTTTAATGATTTCACGGTCGTCCGACCACTTTAAAGACATCCAATACATTGGCTTATGTGACATCTCTATGTGCCCCCCCCCCCCTTCCTGCCCTGTTGGTCTGTCATGTTTATGTCTGTCTGTTGGTCTACCAGTCCCTTCTTCGTTTATGTTGCTATCTGGGAGTGAGCGGCTCAGACGTTTTGGCGTTTGAGGCTTTTCATTAACTTTGTTGCCTCTCTCCACACCACCCCCAACCCCTTACAGTTCTCATGAGAATGGCTTCATGGAAGACCTAGATAAAACCTGGGTGAGATACCAGGAGTGTGACTCGCGGAGCAATGCCCCAGCCACACTCACCTTTGAAAACATGGCAGGTATGGTCCTTACGGCGTGGAAAAAAAAGGTTAAAAGTGATTGGACAAAAACTGCAGTGGTAAGGTACTGTAGCCCTTTTTTGTCCAATACCTTTGCAGTTCTGGTTGTTTTGGTGTCAGCGTGGGTGCTCTGTGGAAGTGTGGCTTAACGTATCATGTGCTGTGACATTGTGCCGTTGTGGTCTTCCACGGATACTGTGTTGTTTACAGCCACTGTCGTCGGTAGGAGCTGCTTAAGAAAACAGGAGCGACCGCTGAGCACAGCAACAAGTCATGCTCAGTGGGAGCGGCGCCTTTCTAGATCGGCCACTCACTTCTCTTCGTCTCCTCCTCTGTCCCTCCCACCCCCACCCCCACCCAACAGGTGTCTTCATGCTGGTGGCTGGAGGCATTGCGGCAGGCATCTTCCTCATCTTCATCGAGATCGCGTATAAGCGCCATAAAGACGCCCGCAGGAAGCAGATGCAGCTGGCCTTTGCGGCCGTCAATGTTTGGAGGAAGAACCTGCAGGTAGGAACCGTTTTCTATTTCTGGTCTCAGCTGGGGTGGAAGGGCCAAACCCGGGGTGCCACAGACTCGGCAAGGCCTCTTCCGTCAGCCAGTCAGCTTCTGCCTCCAAGCGTTTCAGGGAGCTTTTGATTTTCAGCAAAAGCAGCGTTGACGTAAAGAGAAGGCTTCTCAAGTGGCCTCTGAAGGTCTCAATGGTTTCAGGAGGCCAACTGCATCCATATCTCTTGTGTGTTACCCGCAGGAAAGTAAGGAGGCCTCTGGAAGCCAAGCGGCGACTGGGACCCCCTCTTTAGTATGTAGCAGAGCCATTTCCACCCCTACGTCACCGCTCGCTCTTACAGAATAAGTGGCCCTTTAAGATGATGGACATCCAAGTTGAAACTATATCGTCTTCCTCCATGGCATGATGACGTAGACTTAAGCTGCTGCTGGTCCATTAGACGCTTCATAAGGTCATATGATGCATTCATGGAGAGGCCACGAGACCCCCCCCCCCCCCCCCCCCCCCAAGAGAAACATAAGAAAAAAACAGCCATAGCAGCGATTACAGTAGAGTTGATGTCATGATCGTGTCATTATTGACTTTTTGCTCTTCCAGCCATGCAACAGCTAAATAGAGCATAAAGAGCAAAATCAATGCCTTAGCACAATCATACAAATGTGACCCCCCACGGTGCAGCACGACCTGAGCAGGACACTGACAGGCTCAAATAAGATGTGTCTGCTCGCTAAAAGCTTTGTGGAGCTGAAACCGTTTTCAGTCCTAAAGGTCCGCTCACACAAATAAAAAAACGGCATAAAACTGGGCTGAACTTCAGTGCTGCGGGTGTTCGACTCCATTTAAAAGTGCACATTCGTCTTGGTAGGTGGCGTATTTAAGATGTCTTTAGTTTTGGTGTTGCCAGCTGTTCTTATTTACCAAACCAGTTTATTGGTAACAGCATTTCAACACAGCGTGAGAGCTGACCTAAGCGCCTTACAGAAGGTAAAAAAAAAAGAACAAAAACAGTTAAATTAAAAACTACTGAGAACGAGCAGTAAAAACAAGTAAAACAACCAATAAAACAACACACGAATGTAAAAGCAAGCATAAAAATGGTCTTGTGCCCAAAGCCAAGTCATAGAAATGAGTCTTCAGTTTTGGCCTGATGACCGAGACCGACGAAGACTGCCATATGGAGATGGGAAGGGCACATTTTTACACATTCTTTCCAGTTTTCTTTGTCATAAACTAAAAAGAAATCTGAAGCATGGACTAAAGGTGGCCAATTGGATCATCACTCTTAATTACAGCCACTTTAGAAATTCTGGGGTTTAGAAAATCAAGCATTAATGACTGATTCCTTTGCTCAGCTGATCAAACACACAACACGCCCTGTGCTCCAATGCAATCAGCGGAGCTGTGAGGTGCCTCAGCTCCCTCTCACACAACTTTAGCCAGACTCTGATTGGATTGCTTGGAGGTATAGGTCTGTCTCATTTAATGGCCGATCACACTGTGATGTGGCCCTGGCAGCGTGTCTGCTGTGTGTGTGTGTGTGTGTGTGTGTGTGTGTGTGTGTGTGTGTGTGTGTGTGTGTGTGTGTGTGTGTGTGTGTGTGTGTGTGTGTGTGTGTGTGTGTGTGTGTGTGTGTCCCTGCTGAAATGAGGCGGCAGGGCTGGAGAAAGGTAAAGTATAAAAATCACAAGTGCCTGTCAGCAAACCGCGTGTCTTTTTAATGGTGTCTACCATCCCACTGACAACTGTATGTGACTGTTGAGTGTCCTTGTATGGACTTCTGATCTTTAGGCACATGCAGCAGATGAATGCATGCAGGGTGGCATCACTGAGAAAGGAGACACACATGGAACTGCCTGCAGAACATTGGTATTTAGAGCCGCGTTAGCGATGATCGTGTTCTCCACATGAATGAACAAAGATGGCTCATGTTGCTCACTGACCGTCACCGTCGAGCTAAAGTAAAGCAGACACGCGTTATTGCAGTGACATGTCGCGGAGGAAGCACTGGGGGAGCCCACAGAGTCCAACTAATTCAATCACTTCTGCATGAATGTTATTTCCAGTTCTATCTGGGTGCACCAATTACTTCCCCGTGATCTCATCTTCATAAAGGGAAAACGACAAGTTGGTTATGTAGGGCACAAACTCACTGCGATGGACAATCTGAGTTCACAGTTCATGTGTTCTCCCTCCTCAGTGCAGCAAGCGCTAAAACCTGCAGTGTCATTGTCGCATCATTTTGACTGCTTGTATGTTTGTTGTATGTTATTATGTTGGTCACGCTGCCTCAGGCTGGTAGATTATTACTGCAGACGAAACACTGCACTCACATGCCTTCAAACTTAAACGTAACCCTGCAGAGAACGTGCACGCCTGACTAAATCTGTTTGTGTTGTACATGCTGGTAATTCCCAAAGCTCGTAACCGCCACACCGTCAGCATTTAAAACATTTTAGTAAACCTTAACACCGCTCTGCTGATGCACGCCTGCTCTGTACTTTAAGAAGTTGCAGAGAAAAATGGTTGTTTCTATTTCAGAAGTGATGCAAATCTTTATTATTGGAATTGTTTTATGGTAACATTTAGATTTACCACTATAATAATTAAAAATGGTATTTTTTCGTATTTTCTTTTATTTTTGCTGGTGATGAATGAGAAAAAAATGCAACAAAGAACTGAAGAAGCTAGAAGTGGTTCTGAAATTGTGACCCTGATAATTGCTGGTCTACGTGTAAAAACCATAAGTTATTGAACGTGATTGTTTTTCCCCAACCTGACTACTGGCTGTTAAAAACTGTCGAACCAAACATTCGCTGACATCCAGGTCTTAAAGTAACACAGAGCAGTCTCCTGCTTCTCCACCCTACTGGTTGAAAGTGGAATGACAACTGTCATAAACAACACTGCTGTAGCTAGTGCTAAGAATGAGCTAATACTAATGTGAGCCAACTAATTCTAAAATAAACAACAAAGTTAAAAGATCCACCCTGTTAGACAAAAAATATTATTACTTACAAGTCCAGTAGCAACAAAGCCAGGTCACCATCTGTCTGTGATTTTATAGCCTCCTTTAGCTCCCTCAAACTAGCGTAGGCCGCTCCGATGTTCACTCCGGTTTTATTTTGCTTCGCCTCCAAAGACGATCCTCTCTTAATTTTACTTCCAGGCTCCGCCATGATGCCAACAGAAATCTCAAACTTCTCTGTTTTTTCATCTTGTGCTTTTATTGACGATCGGCAAACTGAAAAAGCTAACTGATAGCATAACAGCTAACAGCCATAAAGTAGGTAAAGAGTGCCCCCTATTAGGGCTGGGCGATATGAACCAAAATTTATAGATCAATATTTTTTGCTGAATTCCGATATACGATATTTCTCGATATTTTTCCTCCTGTAAAATATTTACAAGTTAACTCACTTCAAGCTGTCCTGATAAATTATACATAAATCAGTAGATTAATGCATAAAAATGTATTGATTCTTGTTAAACTTTAACCTTAGTGCCTATTTTCTGGTACAGCTGTCTGTTCTCATACACACACACACACACACACACACACACACACACACACACACACACACACACACACACACACACACACACACACAGTTGAGACCTAGAGGTGTACCAAATGTCCCACAGGTACTTTTTATTTATATATTTATAATGTAAAATTATTTAAATGTCATCTAGAGGTGGCCATATCATATATTTCTTGTCCAGAGAATATAAATCTATCATGTTAATCTAAATGTATGATGATGTAATTGCATCTACTGAAGGTCACATGGGTCATGCCTTGGAGTTATTAGTTATCAGGGCAAACATGGCTGCAGTCTAACAGGATTGGATCATATCAGCGATTATCCTGTAATGACTCAGAGTCTCTGGTTGCTCTTTTATGAACATTATTTTCGGGCTACTGTCGCCGTAACCCACGCCTTACAAACTCTTAACTTTTTTCAACAGAATCGCTCGTAACAGAGTTTTTACTAGAGTAGCTAACCAGAGCGGAAAAAACCGGAACAACATTTCTCACCCGTTGAGCTCACCTTCAAAATAAAACATTAAACCTATAGTTTACTATTCAAACCCTTACAATATGTTTGAGGTCATTCGGCCACTCCGGCTATCCGTAGATTTTTCCTCATTACACAGGGGAGGGAGGGGTTTGGCCCGTCTCTCTGCACAAGCAGGATGGAAAAACACAACTCTGTTGGTGTTGAACGTCCCCAAATAATTAAAAACCAGAACGCCAAATGCAAATTTTAGACCAGCACATTTACCCAGAGGCTCTCAGATTGAGCTAACTTGTGAGAATACATGTAATAGCCACTTAGAGACAGAGCAACATGTCGCTAGCATAGCGGCTAATCGCTAGCATAGCGGCTAATCGCTAGCATAGCAGTTTGACCAGTTATGTCGATATAAAGATATAAAGTCATCTTATATCTTGTTTAAAAATTATATCGATATTTTTCAAATATTGATATATCACCCAGCCCTACTCCCTATTTAGCACCTACCCACTTCGTAAATGGCCAGTAGAGAGCTGGTAAGTGGTGTCAAATATGAAACTGGTCAAGTTTCTAACCGCGATTCCTGTTTACGTGCTCCTGTTTCAGAAGCTAGAAGTAAGCCAATGCAGAGGTCAGTTTTGGAGTTTTGTTTTCAGATATTTGGACATCTCACCTCTGATTGGCTAACAGCAAAGCGACTCTTTGTCTGACTCGGTTTGCTCTGCAGATGTTTTATCTCCACAAATAGCATAAGCCTGAAAGAGTTCTGCCAAGTTGTGGAGTTGCTAATGTGATACACTTTGGGCTAAGGTCTGACTGCTCTGAGATACCAAAGTATAGAATCCGATTAAAGAGCCTGAGGGTATGAATAAACCACAACAACATAACTTGAGCTCATGAGTACTTTTTATTTAAACATATGAATATTGATGTATAACAAATATAATTTATGTATATATTACCCCAACAGAAACTGTTTT